TGATGCACTGTTGATAACACAAAAACCACTGATTAAGGGGTCATAGTCATTGTGAAGATGAAACAACGAATTACAAATAAAACAAACTTAGTAAACTAAACAAGACTCGAATGACGGCAAGCACAAAAGTAAGCAACAGTTATGTTTAAAACAATGCTTAAATAACGAAAATAAAATGATAGTTGCAGAAATGCATAATAACGTTCATAGTTAGCATAAACAGAAGGATCATATACCATATGTTCCCTGCCAAATGAGGAGCATGCTAACAAGCATCTAATGATGAGTCAATTACCTGGTATAATGCATGACTTAGCTCTTGCCTTGCTGTATGTAATTGTTGCTCCAATGCAAAGTTGGACAACATTAGGCCATCCCATTCCTGCAATTAGATCAAGAATGACTTTACAAGCAAAATCAAATGCAGAATATTAGCTGAATAAGCCCATTAAAGGGTGGGTTACATGAGCCACCATAATAATTAGAACTGGTTAATGAACAGGTTAAATGAACTAAATGATTATCTAGTTAAAATATTTAGTCATATAAAGTAGATTAGCAAATCCAATTGTTAAAATGCTTTTCAAACTTTTGACAGGAGCACATCTATTTCCAAATCAAGATTTCTAGTCTCAGCTGCAATGAAAATTATCCAACAATTTACTATTATTTTAGCAAAAACTATTCAAATAGAACAAATATGGGAGTTTCACATGGATGAACTCCAGGGAAGTTTTACAGGTAGGATGTATAGAGATTATTACCAGAGATTTGGAAAGCAAACTATCTATACCATAAATGATAAAAAGCATAACATTTTGATAGAATCAGGCATAGAGGCTTATCAGCGTCGTAGTAATAATTCAAGGAGAACTTGATGGAGGCAAGCATCCCTCTCATATATGTGACCGAGTAAGAAAGTTATTAAGTTGCAGCCCTATTATCTTGTAAAAAGTGAAGAAATGCTGATACAAGAGTTTACAACTTTACAGAAACATGAATCTTAACACAGCACCATATTATCAAGAAAATCTGGAAGTCGGAAATTTGACAATGAAGGTAGCATATGGGATAATACACATACATTCTGAAACATTCCAAGCATCCCAGGGATGCTTGCGGTCTGTACAGTTCTCGGCTTCACAATCTACAACAAAAGCAAAAAAAAAGACTAATCAAGTATAGAAACAACCAAACTAGTCAGGTATAGAAACAGCTGACACTGCAGCAGTGGGATACAAAAGACTTCGATGACAATTGAAACTAAGACCAGAACTAAACATACTTTTCCTGTTTCGACTGGAACAACATCATCCATGGTAAGCGGTTCCCCAGTAATGGGGCATTTTCCATATTCCTGATTAGAAAATAAACACCAACAAGACAAGGTTTATCAAACATAATGCCAAATTTCCTGAAAAGAAACTTCGAAGATCAATACAGTTTAAAGTAAAGCTTGATTTTAAAGATTTGGAAGCAAAAAACAACCATATGCAGCAAAAGATATGCCTCCATCACTTCTGTTAAACAAGGAACTTGTTCTTTGAAGATCAATGCAGTTTAAGTAAAGCTTGATTTTAAAGATTTGGAGAACAAAAGACAACCATAGGCAGCAAAAGCTATGCATCCCTCACTTCTGTTAAACAAGGAACTTGTTCTTGCACATTCAAAAAGAGTTAGAAAGACACGAAAAAATTGACTTCCTAAATAAATCCTGGCTAGTTTTGAAATCACCTCAAGGTTGCAAACCATAACCATCGCAATTTTTACTACTTCATCAGTAAACACACAAAATAACCAACACAAGCAGCTTAATCCTGGCTAGTTTTGAAATCACTTCAAGGTTGCAAACCATAACCTTCGCAATTTTTACTACTACCTCAGCAAACACACAAAATAACCAACACAAGCAGCTTCAATATTTTCATTAGTTAAACTTTTAAACCATAACATCTCGCTCGTTCACTCAAGCTATACAAAACACATGAAAATTATAAAAATGTCTTTTCTCTAACTGTACTCTAAGAAGCCAAAAAGTAAAACCCTAACGAGCTAAAAGCTAAAACCCTAAAATTGATAAAAAAAAAAATAATCTAAAAGAGTAAAGAAGAATATACCGATACGTGTCTCTCGATTAAGCGTTTCTCGTATAAAAGCCCAGACCTCTTCGAGACGACGGGCTCTCCCGGAACCTCGCCGGAAACTGTCGGGAAAAACAAATAAAACAGAGATCGATAAGAAACTACAAAATATAAAAGAAAAGCAGAGTAACAGAGAAAGAGAGAGATACTTGAGCAATGCATTATAGAAAGAGAAGTTAGGGTTTATCTAGGGACTAGCTGCGAAGGAGCTATCTAAGTTTAATGATTATTGAGGGTAAAATTTAAGTAGCAGCCGAGCAAGAGGCAGGAGCCTTGAGTTGCCAGTTGCCAGGGAACTGTAATGTAACATGTCTATTCTTATTTCTTTGTATGTATTAGCGATAGAAGAGAAGAGAAGAGAAGACCGGCCGATCCATCATCCAAGTGAAGGATTGGGCTTTCCGGCCCATAAATAAGGATCCTTGTGGGCTATATTAATTCTTGCAACCCATAATTTACCTTTTAATGGGCTGAATTTTAATAATTTTTTCTTACATGTTGTCCCGGAGTGGGTGATTTGATAATTATTACGTAGGTTCCTGATTTGGGAAAAATAAAAATAAAAATAGAAGGGAGATATTTTTATATTAAAATTATGAAAATTATTTTGAAGGCATATAGCGTTTTTATATATTTAACCAAATATATATTTGTTTCTCTCATGTCTATTTTTTATTTCCTGTAACACCAATCAAATACAAATTTACTTATAAAATTGTAAGTCTACTACGGTAGGCAAAAGAAGAAAAACAAGAAAAGAACTATCATCATACTTTACATGTCTCCAAGAATTTTATTTTTTTTATTTGAATCTCTTGATCCGTAGTTTCCAATTATAGAAGAAAAGAATGCTTGTTCTTGTTGTTATCAGCAAAGATTAGATTAATTTTTACAGAGAGGGAGCTTTGGTAAAACATTTGTGCGTGTAGATCTGGCATTCAATACCCCTTACGCTTCAATCGTTCAAAAGTACTCGTCGGCATGAAGATGTTCTGTTTGAAGTCGATAAGATGTAGTTGTGGAGGACAAGACAGGCGCATAGCAAGGAAACTTGATAGCTTGGTCCCCTGTAGACAGAGGAGACACGTCCTTTATACGCCTGCCCATTCTTATGAATGTATAGGGATTTACCTCCATTAGGGTGAACATCTTTGCCAAAAGTATACATATAGGCATGAACTTGTAATGTTCATACGCTAGTACTTTGAGCTTCTGCAATTTAAATTGAGACATTCAAAGTTATTCAGATTTCGATCGGTTCATTAATGGCAAGATGGATACTGCCCCCATCAATTTTCTGCCAGTAATTCGGATACCAGAGGACTCCTTGGAGAAAATGCATTGCTTTAATTATGATGAGAACCTAAAAGCACATATCTTGGAAAAGAAACAACAAAATAGATATGGAAACAGTGAATTAGATGCCAAGCAGCAATCACTCGCCGTAGCCTGCATAGTTTTATACACCCTCCTCCTGTCATGAGTCATGGCAATGCTTTGAATGTGATCGCATGTGAAAATGACCACTTACTCAAATGCCCGAAAAGGTTGATGATATATATTGCAGAATCTGCATTTTCTATCTATAACAACACCAAATCGAATTTCTGTAAATTTTATGCAACAACAGACATGATCAGTCCCACAATAAAAGGTGGAATTGCTGAAAGTTCAGGAAAGTGACAGATACGCTGAACAACTTTAAGTTATAAGATCATGATCAGGTGTCATGAGCTAAGTTGCATGCAATACGTGGTAGCTGCTGGTAGCAGATTGAGCTGGTTAATCACTAATAATTAATTATAGGTGTCATTCTTGGTGTGTTGGGATAAAAAACACATATATAAAAGAGACAAAACAAGTAACGTGTATTAATTAGAGAGTAGCAGAGCATAGTTTTAGTTTCCAAAATAAACTCAGCAGAATTCTCACTCTCCCGAAGTATCCACAGCACAAGGGAAAGACCTCCTCTGGTTCTGTAGAATTTTGCGGAAATAAGATTAATTGTAGAAGCTCTATCTAGAAAAGTGTTTTTCATTTCCAGTTGAGGGAAAAGCTAGCAGAAAAAGCGGTGGAGTCGAAGTGAGTTAGGCAGGTGGAAACACAGGCATGAGGCGTGCTGAAATGTTCTTTAATTGCTGCAAAGGCAGTCGCATCAAGCAGCAAGGAAAGTTAGGGCATCTTGTGCTATGCTTGAAAGATTAGACTAAAAGAAGGTTGTGCAAAGCGTTAAATTAATTTAGATTAATATAAAAACAATATAATTCTTTTAATTTGTTCATTCTAAAATGCTTGAATTAATAAATAAAATAGTATTAAACATATTATTTAATACAAATAAACCTAGTAGACAGACCATCTATTGATGGGTACTTATGTAGGTGGTCTGCCTTTTATACTCACTTGGGAATCTAACGTACGAAAGCGGAGTATACATAGCTTTGTTCTGCTTGACTTCGTTGAACTCTAATCAAGCTGTCAACTCCAACATGTGTTGGTCTTAACCCTCAAGCATCCCGTATCACTTCCAGATGGCTCGTTTGAATCATTTAAAAGAAAAGGAATAAAGAAAATATATATAAAAAATGAATTACTAGCCGAAGTACAGATGCATGGTGATAATCCATTGACAAATAGATCGGACTTCTTTTCATTTTCAACATTTGACAATTTTAGGCTAGGTAGAACGTTGAATCTAAATGACATAGAAGTAGCTCATTTTCAGGCTCAACATTCTTTGATATAGTTGTGAATTAAGTCTAAATAAATATAGATTTTACAAGCTATCAGACCTAAAATCTCTACATCTGATTATATATAGAGCCTAATAGAATACAAGTCTTGAAAATTGCTAGACACAATGCCAAAGCCCTAGTGGACAAGGGTTTCACAATGAACTTAAGCACAAGCATCGAGTCCGTACTCAATACTTTTTGAGCTCAACCAGCATGTCCTAGCCTAAATGTAGGGCCTACACTAAGCATCTTTTTGATTCAGGCGTGGAGCTTGAGTCCAATCGCAAGGCGTGTGTCAAGAGCCTTATAAGCTTTGGTGCCACGTCTAAGCCCTTGATATGACACTCAGCACCTCTTTTAGATTCAAGCAATGCACTTGAGCTCGAATGCTAAGCATATATGCAATACATCTTAGATTTAATGCACATCTTAACCCTATCTGGGTTTGACTTTGTAGTTTAAATCTAATTGATTTTATATTGCAAAACCATATATATAAAAAATATTTATTTTTTATTAATATTTATATTAGAGATATATATATTTTTCATTAATATATGTGAAGGAGGTATTTATTTTTCATTAATGCCTATCAAAACAAAATAACTCATGAATTTCTCCACCCAAGCAACAAGATAAGGTATATGAGCTATAAATATCTCCTAAACTACACAAGTAAAAGATGATAATTTTTATTCTCAACAAAAACATATTTTTTAATTTGAAAGAACAAACAATTTTGTTCCTAGGAATAAATGCACATTCCCTCATTTATTATATTCATTTGCTAAAAAAATTCACTTACTTACTTTATTATCTGAGAAATTTTAAATCTCAAAGATTGTTTTGTAGATTACATGCTTTTACAACAAGCTACAAGTTTTATAAATAATAAATAATAGACTATCTTGTTAGAACATGTAATTAACCCATAATTTTACCTCTAAAATATATATTCGTAAACATTTTAAATTTTAAAACATTCGGTGATACAATAAAAATGTTTGCTAACAACAAATGAACTATCATCTTCATTGACAGCATGTCCTCTCTCTTTTTAAGAGTTCTTGTATTTAACCTTTTTTTTTTGTTTTTTGAAAGAACAAAAAAAATGGAAGTATGTTAACATAACATTTTCAAGAACTATTTAATAATATTATTAAATATATTAACAAATTAACTTTGAAATTTCTTTATCTAACTTTTTTTATTTAATTTCAATTTAAAATTAAATAGAATAAAAACTATATTAACATTACCTAACAGATTTAGTAAATAAAAAAATTTTGTGGATTAAATAATAATAAAAAAAGATGAAATTAATAAAAAAAGATTTTTCAACCCAATTTTTTACCCAACTTAAATTTAAAATTAAATTATATAGAAATTATTCAAACACAATCAAGTTAATGACATTAAGTTTCCTGAATCATTTAATATAGTTGGGTAATATTTATTTTAATTATCACATATTTAATTTTTTTTAAAAAAAAATCATTGTTCGGGCAAACTAGCTAGTTACTGTCTAATATCATATTGGCATTGTCCGGGCAAACTAGCAAGTTGCTCTCTAATTATAACATATTCTAAAAGGCGTGGGGAAATTACTATAGCTTTTCCCATGCCTTTTTCTCCTTATTAATATATTATATTATTATAATTATTATTATATTCTAACATATTCTAAATATCTAAATAGTATTGTAGTGTCTTTTTTTAATAATTTTTTTATTTAATTTAATTTGTTAATATTTAATTTTTTTATTTAGTTATCAAATTACATGTATTTCAAATTTAATGGGTTAACCTAGTAACATACTCTAAAACGCCTGGAAAAAACACAGTAGCTTCCCCGTGCCTTTTAATAATAATAATTATATTATTATATTATAATATTTTTTTTATACATTTTTTTATTTTTTTTATTTTTTATGCTTTTATGGGTTTTTTTATTTTTTTTCTTTTAATAATTTTTTCATTTAATTTAATTTGTTAATAAATCTCGAGATTGACAGTTTAACCTGATTATAGTCAAACTTACTTAAACTAAAATTTTTTAAGTTTAATATTATTATAAATATTATTTTTAGATCCGATATTATAGTCAAATCTAAAACTCTTAAATATAAGTTTATAAAAAAAATCTAATATTTTAAATT